TAAAAAGAAAGTGGGAACAAGTAATGAGTGATGAGCAAGAAATGTTTGTCACGCAGAGACAACAATACTGTAGTTTAGCTCTAAAGTCATGTGGAATTATTTGATTTCAGTTCATTGTGAATCTCCACTACCGTTTTACAGCTTTCCCCTTCTTTAATAATTGTTTTATGTTTCTCAGATATTTGTATATACAATGATTTGAACAGATACTTTTACATAAAGTGTTTTTTATTGGATGCACTTTGGTTATAGCTAATTCTAAAGCAGGTGTTTCTATATAAATGTATAAACAGTTTGTAGCATGAAGAGGCGCTCTTCTGACCATGAACTTTCATGGTTCTTTGTCATTTGCATCACATGCGGTACATGAGGTGGAACAAAATTGTGTACCCAACGGCCCAGTTACACCCAAAGATAATAAAAAAAAAGAAGAATATAAAGTATAAAAAGATATGCAAGGATCTAGATTAGCTAAACACTAATAATGTAAAAAAAAAAAAAAATATATATATATATATATTCTTTCGGCTGCTCCCTTCTCAGGGGACGCCACAGTGAACTAAGTCACACAAAGATTTGGCAATTATTTTTGTAATAAAATTTCAAAGACTGTGGCACAGTGGCTTAGTTGGTTGAGCTGTCGCCTCTCAGCAAGAAGGTCGCTGGATCAAATCCCGGCTGGAGGGCCTTTCTGGGTGGAGTTTGCATGTTCTCTCCATGCATGTGTGGACTTTCTCCGGGTACTCCAGTTTCCTCCCGTAAACTAAAAACATGCACGTTAGGCTGATTGGTAACTCTAAATTGTCCCTAGGTGTGAGCGAGACGGTGAATGGTTGTCTCGTTTGTCTCTGTGTCCCTGTGATGGACTGGAGACCTGTCCAAATTGTCCCCCGCCTCTCACACAGGGATGGATGACTGGATGGAACTTAAAGGACAAATTTGGTCTCCTCATTTGGATGAATATTAATTTATGGTATATAATTCCGTGTCATTAACAGATTCTACTTCAGGGACTGAGTTCTGAGTATTAAAGGTGAACACATTAATGAATCTTGCTGGTCAGTAAACTGACCTGCTGGTGTCCCGCTTTAACGAGTGCTAAACAAGTAAATAAGTGCAGTAAAGTGAGGCGCAAGTGTCACCCTCCTTCCTCCATTTACTCATCTGTGACAACTTTACAGCTGACTCTAATACACTTGCTCTCTCTCTGCAGATACTTTTGTTCTGCTAGTGTCCTGATCCCGTTCATAAAAAGAACACGGGACAAATAAATGCCTCCTTGTTTATCATTTACATCACGAGTGTTTGCTGAAGTTTGGTCTGACTCAGGCTGTGCAGTCTGGATCAGACTGTCTTTCCTTCGGATTAGATTTTAATTAAAACTCTGGTGTAGACATGTGGAAGTCTTACTGTAGCCAAGGTGGTTTTTCAAGCAGCAACACAATGTAAATCTGTGTGAACAAAGTTTGGCCATATGTCATAAGACATAAAATTTTGTTTTTGTATTCCTGCTGCTGACTGGTCTCCATTTTTATTACGATTAGTTTACCTGTTTAGTGTTAAAATGCTTGCAAAGCGCTGATATATTTTTTTAACCTTTAAAAAAAAAAAAAATTTTTGA